TTTTAAGTTTAGAGTTGTGATTGAAACTTGAAAAAAATGAAGATCATAATTTTTCAGAAATATGTCGCAGTTTGTATCACAAATATATGAGAATTGTGTAAATATTGTATCATGTATTATTTTAGGCATTTATGTATCAAATACAAGTTAGATACAAGTATGATATATTTATGATAAAATTATGCTTTAGGTATTGATGTATCAGATACAATTCTGATACAATTATCATATAATTCCCGCAATTTCTTCTTCATCTTCGAGTTTCAATCAAAATTTTCACCTAAAATCCAACTCTATACTTAACCAATCTCCCTCAAAATTGAGATATAAAGTCCAAAGGATATTCTCAATCACTTGCAAGAATATCCAATCTACACAAATCACAAAATCTTAAAACCCGAAATTGTATGTATGTATGCTCGAGAATCATATGTATTTTTGGTCTTCGAATGAACCAATTTGTGAATGAGTGTATTAGGTAAACAAACTAAAGAAATTAGGAAAAGGAAAATAACATAAGGAGAGAGGAGAGAAGAGGGGAAAAAAAGAAAGGATTTAATTGAATTCCTTAATTGAAGGCACTAATAATAGGGTGAGAGCCTTTGAAGGGGAAATATATACAATTTGTAGAAACATCTAGATATTTACTGAAAACTACAAAACCTAAAACAAAATAGGTAAATAAGTTTCTATTATAGTATATATTTAAAAACAAAACTCCCATAATTAATGCATAATTAACTAGATGGGTTGATCGATGATGATGAATTCAATGCGTAGTCGAACATAAAATTGGATTTAGTCCATTGTTAGGTTTGAAAATAGCACGGGGTAGCCAGTTTTCGGACTGATAATTGAAAAATAGCTAGCGTTTGCAAAGTCATTGAAATATAGGCGTTATTTTGCTGCAACACGGAAAGTTCCAGCATAATATACTCGAGATTGGTGCACCTGTGTATAAACTTCTAGCATTTATGCTGGAACTCCAGCACACGGAAAGTTTCAACATAATATACTGGAGATTGAAGCACCTATGTATGAGCTTCCAGCATCTTATGCTGGAATCCCAGCACACAAAAAATTTCATCATAATATACTGGAGATTGGAGCAACCGTGTATGAGCTTCCAGCATATTATGCTGGAACTCTAGTGTATTATGCTGGAACTCCAGTATATTATGCTAGAAGTTCACATGTAAATAATTCGAACTCCAATATATTACGCTGGAATATTTTTCGGATTTTGAAAAGTGTTTTCGTTCTAATTATTTTCACATGAAAAGTGACTAAATTTCGATTACTTTTGAAACTATGACTATTTTTCAATTACCACTTGTAAGAATTCCCCCTTGTTAGGCTGGTATAACCAAGAATTATTGGGCTTACAAAGCCCAAATAAAACTCATGGATCCTTTTTCCCATTTCAAACCATTATTATGTACCAGCCCACCTCATGAAAAGGATTGGTCCAAGCCTAGATATAGCTTCAGTAGTTTTCTTGCTCGTCTAAATTTATAGGAGTAACTTTTATGATCAGTTGATTCCACATTGTGATATAACTGAAGAAATAGAAGTTTTGGGTTGGAGATTTTTGTTAGGCGTTTGGACAATATTTTGGTTGAGTTGAAAAAAATGTATTTGAAGTTGAATATGAAAGAGTTTGTGAAAATTTGATCAATAGTTTAGATCGCATGAACTTTATTTGGAAAATAATATTGTGAAAGTTAAAATTTCGTAAGTGAAAATTGATATTTCGCTTAAAATATATGTACAAATAAATATTTTAATATTTTACTTGAAATTCAAATATTGAAGTCTTGTATGGAGCATCCTAATGCGCAAGGTATCTCGCGTCCACGTAGGGTTTGGGAAAGGGTCGCACCCCAAGAAATGTAATGCAGGCAGTCTACTATAATGCAAGCATTAGTGGTTGCTTTCACGGCTCCAACACGTAATCTATAAATCACATTGAAATAACTTTATCATTACTTCAAGGCTCCACTTCAAATATTAAAGTCTTGTATTTACGGATAATAATGAAATTTATGCCTAGATATCTCGGAAAAAACATTCAAGTTGAATATCGAATCTCATATATTAAAGTCTTGTATTTACGGATAATAATGAAAATTATGCCTAAATATATCGGAAAAAACATTCAAATTTAATATCGGATTTCTACATAGTTGTCAAAAGTCTCAAAAGTCAGAATGTACCTGTTACTCATTACTCTTTCTTCTTTCAACGTTAACCAATTGAAACTCAAAGATCCATCTAATCATTTTCCTGATTTTCTCATATTCTTTTTGAGTTTTGAAGATGAGAGATAAAAAGTTAAGTTACAGAGTGAATCACAAGATGTAAAATAAACAAATTGAAAAAAGTAAAAATAGCAGTAACATTAATGGATAAAATAATACATGTCGTCAATTCTACAAAAAGTAATGGCATCATTACTAGCAAACAAACAAACAAATACTTACAAAATACAAAGGAGAACACGAAAATGCAGGGAATGACTGGCTTTTTGATAGTTCCCATGTCTTACACTGTTTCCTTAATTTCTATTCCGTCCATTCATTCTCACGCCATCCTAACAGAGATTGATGGATTTTTGTTACCTACGAATTCATCAGCAACAAAGAACTAAAAGTAGTGAATTAAATAGTACACATTAGGAAAAGAAAACAAAAGATTGTAAACATTACAAAATAAGGAGTTTAAGTTCTTACCTTGGTAAAAACAACATACTAGGTGTAACTCCTCATAATAGGGTCCGAGCCCTACTTCTACTTAGGGAGGTAGAAATATTGTTTTTAATATATCTGATATAATTACCTTGGCCTTTTAGACTATTAGATCACTTAAAATCTTAAGAGTAAGATCCTTAACCTAAAAAACACATGCTACAACAAATTAATATATAGTAATAAAAATAGTTTTGGGAAAATTCCTTACGCTATTAGGCCTGATTTATTTGTACTTAATAAGGGTTTGAATGACTGATTTTTAATCCAGTCATTAAATACATTTATTTATTTAAGTCTGTATCTTAATTATTCAGATCTCAATTATTAAATATATTTTATTTTTTATTATCATGCACCCTTTTTCTACTGTCATTAGTAGACCAGTCTTTGTAAATGTTCGTTTGGACATAATTTGTTTTTCTTTTTTCCGAAAAATATTTTCAAATCATGTTTGGTTCTACATTTAATTGAATTTTTGAAGATAAGTTTTAAAAAATTTTGAAGATGAACTTTCAATTTTACCAATTTTTTATGTAAATTTTGACTTCCCTCACAAAACTATAGTATTTTTTTCAAGTGAAATACATGTCCAAACACAATTTCAAATACTTTTTTCAACTTAACTCCAAAACTATATTTTTCCAAAAATCACATTTGTTTTTATGTCTAAACGTCTACTACGTGATCCTTATCTATGAAACCTATCCAACACCTATATTTCGAAAAGCTTTCACAATTAAATTCATCTCAACATAAGTACTCGGAGGGCAGAAGATTGGAATCAGTGTTTACTGAGGATATCTTTCTTCTCCATCTCTTTTTCCATACATAAACATAGTAAGTATATTCATTAGCATACTAAACCTTTTAATAGAAGAGACGGCAAAAGCAAAAGCAAAACCAAAAGCAAACACACTCAGTGTAATCTCTGCAATTTCGGCTCTGATCTACAAACCCTCTAAGTGGCCACCAGTCATTCATTAAATCTAGAACTAAACATGGTACGATCTTTTGTATTGTTTGAGTGACTCTGAAAAAAAGTCCTTTTTTGTAGTAAACGGAAACCAAATCTTGGGATAAATTCAACTCAGATTATATCTCTAGATTTCTTTTCTTTTTCTTCACTTCTTTGGAATTATAAATCCAAGTGCGACGTGACAAACTACTACTTATTACTCATCATTACATGCATGCAGTTCAAACTAGCAAAAAACAAGAAGAATATTTGACGACTAACTAGTTATGATCAAGTACATTTAAACTTTAAGGTTTATTGCATGGCCCTTTAAATAAATAACAGCCTTTCACTTGAGAGATTGCCTTTCTCTATCAGTTGTTTAGCATATACTATCATATTTAAATTAAAATCAGGGACTTTCTTATTTCTGTTTTAAGAATACATGAATAAGTACTAGCTAGTTCAAGAAAATAATCCAACTGTCATAAATAATGATTACGAAGGAAGATAGAATGAGAAGCAATAATGATGACAATATGCATCAAATCTTGAATAGATCAGTGAAGTTGACTGCACCGATTTGTTTGTGCATTCAAAAAGAAATGCAATATGAAAAAGATGAGAGGAATAGGCTACAAATGTGGGGCAGAGTTATGTACAACCAAGGGATACTTGAATTCTTGTTATTAAAAAATTATAATGCGTAATTAAAACAAAAATATTTTTTTGGTCATATATCAATTGTTGTATTTCCTTAACATGAGGGAAATTCTAGTCGGTGATAGAGTTAGATGCACGAAACATCTCGCGTTCAAGGTCCGGAGAATGACCAAACCCCTTGATGCGGGCAGCCTAACATGACGCAATGGCCAGTGATTGATTCTATGGCTCAAACTCGTGACTTAAGTCACACAGACAACTCTACCATTTCACTAGAGTTTCTCTTTGTGTTACAATCCCATGTGCGACGTTCTAATAGTTTTTTGAATCACTTGCATACATTCCTGATTCCCCCACTAATATACGGGACAAAACTAAAAAGATAGGGGGCATTTTTTCCCCTATTAATTATATATTGACAGGATAAAGACTTGCTATATTATTAGTTATTTTTAAGTTTAATTAGCATTTTATCATAGAAATTTACTTGTCATTGCCTTACAAGTAAGCATTCGTGCAATTATTTTTTCGTTATCAGTGGATAAAAATTAACCTAGTTCTTTTAAATGCTCTCCAATGGGATTTTCTGCTGCTGGCTTAGAATTTTATGGTTTCTGTCTCTCTCATTTAACTCTATCCATCTTCCCCTCCAAACAAAAAAAAAAAGAGAAAATATTGGTTAAAAAGATGTACTAAGCTACATTTCTCCTAGTTGTCCCCTTGATCTTCATAGGTTTGACATGGAGAAAAGTAGCAGTTTCAGCAGTAACTACTTCAAAAACCAAACCATCAAAGAGTTGAATAACAACAACAACAACAAGTTTAAAGATTCATGGGATAATTCATGTGAAGGTACTGTTGATGGAGATTTAATAGGAGGATTTTTATGGCCACCAAGATCTTACACATGTAGCTTTTGCAAAAGGGAATTCAGATCTGCTCAAGCTCTAGGTGGTCACATGAATGTTCATAGAAGAGATAGAGCTAGACTTAGACTACAGTCATCGCCCCCAAAAGATAATGGTACTACTAGTCACTATTCTCTTCTAAACCTTAATGTTGAACCTAACCCTAACCCTAACCCTAACCTTAACCCTAGTTTTGTTTCATCCCCACCATCTTCTCCTTCAAGAAAATTTCCTCCTTCTGTTTCTACATTACCTCCATTATTATCTCCTTCCTTTTCTTCTTCTACATCTGGTGGCTCTGAAATGAGAAAATGGGGAAAAGATGGTGTCCCATTAAATCACTTGAGTCAGCTAAGAAATGGAGATTTGACAAAAAGGGGAAGTGCCAAATTTGAGAAAATCGGTTCTTTCTTGCAAGGAAAAGAATGTTGTGAAGTGGTGAAGAGGTCTGAGTTTTTGAGATTGGACTTGGGAATTGGATTGCTTAGTGAATCGAAAGAGGATTTGGATTTGGAACTTCGATTGGGATACACTTAGACCAAATTCCCACTGCTTTAAGGTTTGTATTGCTTGAGTTGTTAGTTTTTTCACTGGTTCAAGAAAAAGAACTACGGTCATGCTCGTCTTAGACTTGGTCGTGCAGGCTCATCGCACCTACTCCGATGAGGAATGCAAACCATTAGTTGCTTTATTTTTTAAATAAAAAAAGAGAAGGAAAAGAAATTTTAACCAAACGTGCACCATTTTTATTGGTTGATTTTCTCTTGAATTCAGTTCTTTAACTATGGTTAGGAGAATGAAGATGCAAAAGCTGTGATGCCATGAAGACCAGCCAGATAATATTGCTTTTGTAGTTTCTATTTGTAATTTGTATCATTCTCTTTTATATTTCCATATTATATAGGTATAGTTCTTTAGTAAATTAATCTTCTGAAGTTACTGTTTCTCTAGATATATTATATTGCTGTCGAAGTTCATCAGTCATCACTTGTCTCTTTTGCTTAATCCTTTAGCATCGATGATTTTGATAAATAATTTGCATATGCTTCAGCTGCATTTTTTTTTCCTTTTTTTTTCTTCTTTTCCCAGTTTCTTGTTTTAGCTTTGAGATCATTAGTCAAGTAAGTAAGTTCTGATGTTAATTAGGTACATACACAAAAAAAATGCTATACTAGTAATACTTATTACTTATTCAGGCATTATTCCATGTGATAAGTATCTTCTCTGATCTAATATAACAGCCACAGATATACATTTTCTTTCATTACCAGCACTTTGGATATTGAGAAAACATAGTTAAGATATTCATAGATATATTTATAACATAGTAAGTCAAATAAGATGCACATAGAAAAAAAAAACTATGTTTTGTCATCTTCATTCCCATTTTGCTTTACTTTCTATATTGGAATAATTTTGTTATAAAAATTTCTCAAGCTTGACTACATGATGTAGAACTAAGCAAGTGAATGAACTCCTTTATAGAAATACTTAAATACAAACTATGAAAAATGAGATGATTTTCATTTTTATGACCTAGCAACATGTACAAATGCATGGGCGCACATGGAAAAATGGTGCATTTATCAGGAAAGTGAATCCACATGAAGTACCATTGTCTTTTTGAACTACAAGAAAACATTTCACTTTGGTGAGAACAAATTAAAGCACCACATCTGTTTGATTAAAGGGAATTGATTCTTCACATATTGAATAGAATATATAATTATTCCCTTTAATCGTCATCTATACTTATTATTTATGGTTATCATAAATGCAGACCATAAAATAGCATCCACTAATGAGTATTGTCTTTTCTTTTAGGGAGGAAAATGGGAGTTAGATGTAGAGACATATTATTATTAATAAGTAATTAAAAGAGTATTTTCTCTAAGAGATTAAATTTCTAGACCAATTGGTCACGCACTTCAACGTGAGATCAAACTAGGCAAGAGGTGGTTTGAGTCTCACAGCCACCCATTATAAAATGGGTGATTTGCACAAATAGACTATGTTAGTGCCACATATTGTTTAAGTTTTGACCCCGTTTGAGCAAGTTTAGCAAAACTTGTATCACTACTTGGTGCATATTGTTTGGTGCATATTGTTTACAAATTCTGACGGACTGCTAGGACTTACATAAAAATTTCACCAACACGTTTTATCTTCAAAAAATTTCAAATCAACTCCAAATATCAATAGGAAAATACCCTCCCATTATTAATCCGTACCGTCCAATTAAAGATGCACGCTTTATGCCTTAATGTCCAATCTTGTAACAATCGTTCTATGTCTAGATAGTTAATCAATGTTTGCATTATTATGAATTATATAGGTACAACAAAAGCTCACCTTAATTTCTTAAGCCCTTCATTTTTGGTAATTAGTACTATCTCATAAGCAAAGTAGAAAATTGGGAAAACACAGAATTGAGTAGTTAAGATTTTTTATTATTTCAAAGTGTGCATACTATTTATCATATCTATTGAACTAAGTAATTCGTCTGGGCAATGATGTTGGGCTAGTATGGTTGACTGAAAAATAAAGACAATAAACACAGAAAAAGGTACTAAGAAATTTTTTGTCTCCAAAGTACGTTATTGCCTTTTATCATATTGGAGACTCTAGTAAGCTAGGTAGGCCACTATACCATTTTTAATGCAATATGAACCTTTAATATTATGTACTCTCCGCCCTTTACAAAAATTCATGTAGCTTAAATAAGGACCAACTGAATAATGGTGTTGTACTTTTCATATTTCCTTAACCATTGTGAAAAGTTTTGGTTCAAGAATGACAATTCTATCTGATGAAGTACTAGAAGAGGAGCTAGAAGTCATGCATTAAAGAGTTCACATAAAATTTATGCAATTTTTTCCTCTTGTCCTTTTTATATATCTCAACATACATTATACATATACTCGTACTGTATAACAGAGGACTCAGAAGTGGATCTGAAATTTCTTCAATATGAGTGCACCATTAAAAAATTGAGAAAAAGGTATCATTGGATTAATAATTTAGCATTCAACCAGGTGCACCATTCAACCTTTTTTGGAGCATGGAGTCCAATATATAATATTAGATCAATTTTCCATAATATATACATAAAATATATATTTTGACGGAAAGATTATGGGTTCACGTGCACCGACAAAACAGCCTAAATCCACCCCTGACAAAGACGGAGTTAGAATTTTTAGTTTATGAGTTATGGACTATAATCTTTTTTACTTATTGAATTCTTATAAATAGACTATTTACACATATTCAATAAAAATTTTAACATAAATATGGGGTTCACCTAAAGCTACTGCCAAACTCATAGTTATAAAACTGACTATGGCCCTGCTGAACCTATAAATATAAAATCTGAATCAAAGTTATTAAGTTTTACCGAATTCATAACCGGTGTTATATATCCGCCCTAGGTGGGTTGGGGGTTGGAATTAGGGTGGGATGTTGTCAATGATTTAGATGTGGTGATTAGGCACTTTTTCCCAAAATCTGATAGTTTGCATGTTCCCGACAACCTCTGGGTGTCAAAGGGCATGATGACATTACCTTAAAAAGGAAAGGGAGCTGTTTTGGTCAGTTTTTCAAAACATTACAACAAGTAAAAGAAGCACAGAATTCTTTCCTTAATTAGTACAAAAGGGCACTTGCATACTTACTGATTTCAGACATCCCCTTCAACCCTTAACCTCGTTATCAATGTTTATCCCTGTGCTTCCTTATGTCAGCAAATTTTCTTTTATTCTCTTATATACTACTTCCTCTGTCTCGATGTATGTGAACTTGTTTGACCGAACATAAAATTTAAAAATAAAATAAAAGTTTTTAAAATTTATGTTCCTAAACAAGTTTAAAAGGGGTCCAGAGTATTTGTATGGTTATGAAAGTTTCTCATTAAGAGTGGAATTAAAAGTTTAAATTAAATTATTTTCAAATTTAGAAAAGAATCATTATTTTTGTAATGCACCAAAAAGAAAATAGGTTCATTTAAATTAGAACTGAGGGAGTATAATATATGATGATTTAATATATAGGACCTACCAGCCTTTATTATTTGGCAGTACTGTAATTGCTATGCTGACTATATATTCATTTGGTGAAGACCTCAAGAAGTACAATAATATATACTCTCTACCTCCGCTCATTTTACTTGTCCATTATATTAAAAATACATTTTTATTTTTACTTGTCTATTTTAGCAAATTAAGAGAAGGATAATTTTTTTTTTCTATTTTACTCTTATCATTAACTACTCATTCCTCAAATCATTCCCCAGGCTTTTTGAAATGTTATTATTATTATGGATATAATTATAAAATACATACTTCAATTATTATTTTTAAAGGTAGTGCAAAATTAAAAATGGGCAGCTAAAAATGAACGGAGGGGGTATATGGAAACATCTGAAGTGGTAAAATAATGGATCATCGATCGTATTCTACAAAGTTATCTAAATCCAGTATTTTCGGCCCGTAATTTTAAGAGTACGACAAATATTAGATTGGAGTAAACAATTTTAACATTATCATTAATTAGTTCTATCCTAAGGACATTAAATGGCAAACTCATTAAGTTTAAACGCAGAATTCCGTATGTATAGGCTGAGACATTGACTCTTACTAGCTCACATAAAGGGCTTGATTGCATTAAAAAAAGATATTGACTCAAAAGAAATTTTAAACATGTCTTTTTTTAATAAAAAAAATATATATGTCCACACATGAAAATCAACCTTGCTCAAACTACCCTCTATAGCCACTCAAAATTTTAATAGCTCATGTTTTTGCCCATTGATACAAAATGGCCCTCCGACCTAAACATATTACATCTAATAGCCCGAAATATCTATTTAGTATATTTTTTGTATAGTAAAAGTCTATTTTTGTTTATTTGTTGTATATTGACCGTCTATTTTATATAGTGACAGTCTATTTTTGTCACGACCCAAAATCCAACTAGTCGTGATGGCACCTAACCCAACCCACTAGGTAAGCCAACTTTCAATTATCCAATTCCAATAACAATTATTAAAGCAATTTAAGAAAATAAAGATCTTAATCTTATACATCCCCCAAGAACTGGTAGTACAAATCATGAGCTTCTAAGAATAGAGTATACAAAACGAAAATAAAATAAATATATAGTCTGTTTGAATAATACATAAATAGAGTTTTTATAAATCTAAGGCTACCATGAACAAGAGGCAGCTACAACAGGAACGCATGTACATCTTCAAATCCTGCAACCATCGAGCACAACAGCAACAGCAGCCAACATCTGCACGCAATGTGCAGAAGTATAATATCAGTACAATCGACCCCATGTACTGAGTGACAAACCTAGCCTTAGGTTGAAAGTAGTGACGAGCTTCTACTAAGGTCGGGTCCAAAACCACTAGTTCACAATAGTCCATAACAACATAAAATAAATAATACCAGAAGTAACTCAGAGATAAAATGCTCAGCCAAATCATGATTTCAAAAATAATAGTTCTTCCTTTCAAGTACATCAGTGAAAACCCAAATCGTTTGCCGAAGTTGTCAAAATATGAATACGTTTGAAAATAATAATTTCTCCCAAAATCTTTTCAATAATAAATGAGATGTTTCATTTTTCTTCCAGATAACCCGTGTAAAAATAAATGCATCACTATGCCCATCTGTCAAAATATATGAGAAATCATGAATGATGTGATGTTGTACAGCATGAGAAAAAATACATCTCTATGCATGTATGTCATGTGTGCATGCCAATGCGATGCAACTCAGTGATAAAATAATAAACAGTCCCTCGGGCAGACCTCACAATCACTCGTAAACAGCCCCTCGGGCAT